TAAAATCAATTTATCTACTGTCGGATATTCTAAACGATTAGAATAATTTTATTGAACTTGCATAGTATAGGTTCATTCTAGTATTTTTTCATTTTTTTTTTCTAAATTAACAGGGAAGATGACAATCTCATTCAGCCAGTGGGTAGCATGCCCAATGTGTGCAGGTATGGACTGCAGCCACTGATATCCCACCTGGAGGAACTAGTCAATAAAGGCCTCAATTCTATACTCATCTTTGGAATTGTTACAGCTTTGCCAAAGGTATATAAATAAAGAAAAATCAAACCATACAAATGCAACTTTAGTTACTTTTTATTAATATAATTATTATACTTTCAACAGGATGCCTCAGGATCTAGTGCAGATTGTCCAGAAAATCCGGTATTGAAAGCCCTTCCTAAACTGAGGGCAAAATTTCCAAATCTACTAATAGCATGCGATGTCTGTCTTTGTCCGTACACTTCTCATGGACACTGTGGCCTCTTGACTCCCAATGGAGCCATAGACCATGCTGCATCAGTTAGAAGGATTGCTGAAGTTGCCCTAGCGTACGCTAAAGCTGGTAAAACATTTTAGGATTATTATTAAATAAAAATACCACTTTTTATTTTTTTTTAACCTTTAACTACTGACGTGGGTGTCTCATAGACGGCGTGTTCACGAATATAAGAATTTTCCAAAAAAACGTCCAAATAATTGTATTGTAGCTAAGATTTTAACATATATTTTTTTAAGTTATGCGAAATATTTATATTTTAAGTTTATAGAATTTGAATCAGAAACCGCTGATTTCATCCGAGAACGTTGTATTTTTTGCACTTCCTTAATAGAATTATAATGGACCGATCAGAATACAAGTAAATATTGTGCAAATCAGTAAATACAAGTAATCCATTTCGATTAATTATTAAGGTGTTTGACATACGTCACGTCACCGTTTATGGTATGAGTAAACCACGTCAGTACTTGAAGGTTAAACATGGCCTTTGAACTGGCCTTGGGAATGAAAAAGATAAGAATAGTTCAATATCTTTCCTAAAGTATGATTCAGCACTTCTGTTATTTTCAATTAATCTTTCTAACATGTCTGAAGAACTATTTTAAATAAATTGCATGTACAAGAGGGTAAAATAAATTAATTTGTGAACAGGTGCACAAATTATTGCTCCATCTGATATGATGGACAACAGAATCAAGGCTATCAAGGATGCTCTGGTGTCCTGCAAGCTGCAAAATACTGTGAGTTTTGACTTGCACATTTAAGAGTTAATAATTTTACTTGTTGCACTGTATTTAAAATTACAGATTTTGTTGCTATCTGTAAATAAAGATTTTTTAAGTTTGATATTACAGAAATACAGGATATAATACTGAAAGTCAATTTAAAAGTGTACATTTTTTTTATTTCAGGTATCAGTGCTCTCATATTCATGCAAGTTCGCTTCGGCTATGTATGGCCCATTCCGAGACACTATGAAGAGTGCTCCGATGGAGGGTGACAGGAAATGCTACCAGCTGCCTCCTGGCAGTGCAGGACTAGCTGCCAGGGCTGCCGTAAGTTCTCTAGATCTACCTATTAATCCTGATAATCTTTGTGATTTTTCAGATTCAGTTTTATGAAGAATGTGAAGATCAATACTAAAGTTAACGTGAACTAAGAATATTTCATAATTTCTACATTGGAAAAACGTTTATAAAAGCGATTTGATTAAAATAGCTAATATATTAATGTATGAGGTTTAAATTATATATATGTACTATGTATGCAGAACACAGCTGACCAAACAGTCTTGTAACTAAAGGAACTAAGCATTTTAAAGTCCAACCTTGATTTTATTGTACTTAGATTAAAATTTATCGGACCGTTTCGGCTTCGCACGGGTGCTATTCATAACTTTACTATTCTCGTTTCCATCATAATAATATTAATAATTCATTTTGAAAACAACAATAAACCGATTGAATGAAATCGGTGAAAGATGTTCTCGAGTCTTGTGACACTGTTTGCGACCCATTTATTTTATAGCTAATCCCGAATGGTTTTCATTTACTGCACGGTTCCTATTGATCGTAGCGTGATGTTTGGTACCCTAAAGTCTAAAGCCATTCTCGATAAATGGACTATTAAATACAAAAACATTTGTTTATCTCGAACTAGTAATTTCATACAGTGTTTAATGAAAAAAAAACGTCTCGTCAGCTATATAAATCGGTACCTAATGAAATGCCTATAGATTTTCATTGAATTTTTCTTAGGCTCGAGATGTGGCTGAAGGTGCGGATTTCCTGATGGTGAAGCCAGGCCTGCCGTATCTGGACATAGTGAGGCAGACCAAGGACAAGTACCCGTACCATCCTCTGTTCATATACCAGGTACAGAATAAATAGTCTATGCCATGCCATTAATGTTGAAGTTCTTAGTTTTAAGTTCAAGATCGAAACGGTACCGCGTTTAGCCCTTTGATTGGTTGGTTCATTGGAGCAGGCCAATCAGAGCGCGAGGTTCGCGTGCAGAGGCTGTTTTCATTTTTTCGTATTGGTTCTAAATATGGCCCTAGGTCAAATTATGTATATTTTCTTCTAGTTTTACAAATGCCAACATACATAAACGGTGAATTTAAATAAAAGTTCATAAAAACAAAGCATCATTAGGTACATCACTTATCTTCATAAATAAGAAACGACGTTACCATAACACATTTTTATCCACATCTTTTTATCTACAATGTTTTTGTTTAGTAATTTTGTGATTTTATGACACAACTAATATGGTGCTTTGTTCAATATTGCAATGTTTACCTATGGTATTTCTTTTAATTTATCATTTTTATTGTTTTTCGATAGGTGTCCGGTGAATACGCAATGATCTGTCGCAGTGGAGACAGCTCAGAGGTCCAAACGATTCTTATGGAGACATTGACGAGCATGCGCAGAGCCGGTTTGTATCAATACATAGTATAAAACAAAGTCGCTTTCGCTGTATGTCCGTATGTATGCTTAGATCTTTAAAACTACGCAACGGATTTTGATGCGGTTTTTTTTAATAGATAGAGTGATTCTTAAGGAAGGTTTGTATGTATAATACATGCATATTGCACCCGTGCGAAGCCGGGGCGGGTCGCTAGTTTTATTATATACCTATAATGTGGTTTATTAAAAATATTATAATCTAATGAAACTACATTACAATGTTAAGTGGCGATACAAATTCACATCAGTTTTAAAACTACAGAATGATATACTAAAAGAATCCGTTGTTTTCTGCCTTAATGTTGCTATCCTTTGTTATAGAACTGTTACCGACGTACTGACGACTTAATTTTAAATACTTTATTATCTTTTTCAGGAGCTGATTGCATCATTACATACTTCGCGCCATTAATTTTAAACATGATAAATAAGAAACAATAAATGGAGTTCTTTGTGTAGTAAATTTTATGATCTGTGGGGTTGGGAATATAAATGTTGTTCTTTTTTTGTATTTTTATACTTTGCTCAAAGTGTCATTATAATTTTTTTTTAAAGTACAGACTACCAACTGTTGTCGTAGGTTTTAAGTTGAAAAACATGGGTTGTTGTTATTATTTTAATTTTTAGTGTAATTGTTATAGATGTGTCATTTAAAGTACCTAGTTAAGATTTAATTCTAAGCCTTATGAGGATGTAATGTGATAGAAAATGAAATAAAATATACGTATTTATTTGAGACCTTTTTCTTTCTTAACTTTTTAGTTATGAGCGATAGACCTGATTGCAGTTGTACACGAATATCATTTAAACCTATTTCATGTGCATCAGTGCAATACGTTTTTATCAAGCTGTACAAATATAATGAGCTGACGTGGCCCACTCTTTTATTGAAATTAAGAATGAAATAAATATTAGGAAACTAATAATGTGATGCAATTTTTATCTAAATACTTAGAGGTTTGAAATTACGCAAAATAACTTCTCGATTGCATGAATCTGATTATGAAGTCGTTATTGATTTCCACCCAAAGAGTATAATAAGATTCCATCTTCTTCGTCGTCATTGAAAAGTTGTACATAATTTAAAAACATCAAAATGTTCTCTGTTATTTCATATTTGATTGGTCATCATTTTAGAAAACATCGCACGTCATCATTCATCATAGAAATGCCGTTTGCCCAGCAACGCCCTATGTAATTGTTGAAAAGATATTTATAAAGAAAATACATAATTATGTATTTTAAATAATATTTCCTATGTACTATGCAATTGACATAAGTATGCCCCAAAGAGTAGGTACCTACAGGTAATGTATACAGGGCATGCCCTAAATACACATCTTGGTAAGACCATCTAATGACTACTGTTATTTATTAGCTAATAATAACTTTTATTGACCAATTAACTATTCATTAACTACTTCGTATTCATTCTTAGAATATGATGATATATAATAAAAAGTTCTAGAATCCACCTATTCTAGATGTTTCGAATGGAGAAACTTCTAGAAAAAACTAAAATAAACCTGTAAAGATTCCGTAGAACTTCAATGTTATCTATTTTTATGGTATTTGCTGGGTAATTGATAGTCCTAGTAGTTTAATATTTTTAGCCAACGGCTGAAGATTTATTGAAAAATTTTCGAAAAACCGACAGTATCCGGTATTACACAAATTTCAATATCAAAAACATCGTAATGTAAAGATTTATTGAATACAAGCGGATATTTTTAATGCATTTATAAATAGATCTTACTAATTGTTTTAATATAAATGAATATTTTGTAAGTAATATGAAATAATAATACATTTTCTTAAAGGTAATGAAAGTACCATTTAGTTTTGGTTTAAATTTCGCGCTATAGAGAATGTTCTATTGAGGACCAGTTACGAACGTGGGCCAATCATGTTGCGCCAAATACGTACACTTGGACCAATCACAGTCAATTATTTGATACGTCATTGAGTTGTGGACCAATCACATTAGCCCACGATGGATACTAGCGCTAAATAATAGCGACGGCCGCGTGTGTTACTTCAGTTTTTCTTGAAAAATCGAAGGTGAAGGAACAGCTTATTGTGAATCGTACTCGAGTGTCCCATTATAAAGTGCTTGTATCGTGGCTGTGAATAATATTCTATTGGAATTCAAGTCTCATTTAATCATCTGTTTAATTGGTAATTATACTAGACTTTTTCCATAAATTCTGTATCATTTTAGTCGCTGAACCCCCTGATCATTATAATTTGGAATGAATTTTTAACCTCACCCTTTCATGGTTTGATTCTCGACTTTTTGTTGAATTTTCTAAAAGCTCATTAATTGTACTAGGTAAATCAAATTTAAACTAATAGATTTCTCATAAGATTCATTTATAAACTCGGCTTATCTTTATGAAACGTCAGCGAAATTTCTCGATGCCGAGTGGGCCGGTGGCGCGTCCTACATCTCCTCTAGCCGTCTCATGGTACCGTTAGGTCTTCCATACTGTTACCTATGACTGGATTGAAAAACTTTCATTTTCTCTGAATGTAAGCCGGCAGCGTTTGGCCCGGCGCCCTATAGTGACGTGTCCCATTAACGATTACGTGTCTCTACAAAAAGTGTCATCTGGTACAGATTGAGACATTTTAACTTTATAACACCTTTACACAATGCGTGTACATATGTTATAGGTTTCTTGACTGATTTTTGTAATGATTTGTTTCAGAAAGTAACATTGCATGATCAAAATGCGGTGGAGTATTTTAGCGTTGGCCTGCGTGGTCGTGGCGGTGTACGCCGACGACAAGAAGGACAAGGAGAAGGACATCGGCACCGTGATCGGTATCGACTTGGGTACCACCTACTCTTGGTAAGTGCAATAATCACTAGAATACACCCCCCTAGGCCCTAACTTGTGTATAACATCTGGACTCTAGTAATAATTTATAAATATGTGAATTGTAATTGTAATAATCCCATGAGCCTAACAATTATATTTAATTTAATTCCTTATTTTAATGAATTTGAGTATTTAATTAATGAGAAGAAATAAACACTTTACTGCCTATTAAATAATTTCATACTTGACAAATGTATAATTAACTTTTATAAATGGGAATAATCACCAAAAGCAATTACTTTTAAATTATGAATTTTGAAGGAAAACTATTGTGAATGAAAAATTATTATTGTTTTTCAATCATAAAAGTAAAATATTTTTCATAAAAATGCTGATAATTTACAAAGCTAATTGAGGTTATAAGAGTTCAAATGACTGGTCAATGACCTGCATAATAATAAAGTTATTTTTAGCTGTATAAGTAAAAAATATGCTTAGGAGAATTAATATTTATAATTTACCAAGCCCAATAACTTAAGTGCAAATGTAACAAACAGTAAACAATTATCAGTATGTTTGAAATTTAAAATAATCCCAAATAGTAAGATGATTTGAATCTAATAGACATTGTCTCATTTGTCCACAGCGTTGGTGTGTACAAGAACGGCCGTGTGGAAATCATTGCTAATGACCAGGGTAACCGTATCACTCCCTCATATGTGGCTTTCACTGCTGACGGAGAGCGTCTCATTGGTGATGCTGCCAAGAACCAGCTGACCACCAACCCCGAGAACACCGTCTTTGATGCCAAGCGTCTTATTGGTCGTGAATGGAGTGATTCTACTGTTCAACATGATGTCAAATTCTTCCCCTTCAAGGTGGTTGAGAAGAACAGCAAACCTCATGTTTCTGTTATGACCTCCCAGGGCGACAAAATCTTTGCTCCTGAAGAAATCTCTGCTATGGTTCTCACCAAAATGAAGGAGACTGCTGAGGCTTACCTGGGCAAGAAGGTGACCCACGCTGTCGTTACTGTCCCTGCTTACTTCAACGATGCTCAGCGTCAAGCCACCAAGGACGCTGGTGCTATCGCCGGTCTTCAGGTCATGAGAATCATCAACGAGCCTACCGCCGCCGCTATCGCTTACGGTCTTGACAAGAAGGAAGGCGAGAAGAACGTGCTCGTATTTGACTTGGGTGGTGGTACCTTCGACGTGTCTCTGCTCACCATCGACAATGGAGTATTTGAAGTAGTAGCCACCAATGGTGACACTCACTTGGGTGGTGAAGACTTTGACCAGAGAGTCATGGAGCACTTCATTAAGTTGTACAAGAAGAAGAAGGGCAAGGACATCAGGAAAGACAACCGTGCCGTACAGAAGCTTCGTCGTGAAGTTGAGAAGGCCAAGAGAGCCCTGTCCTCCAGCCACCAAGTCAAGATTGAAATCGAATCATTCTTCGAAGGTGAAGACTTCTCCGAGACTCTTACCAGGGCTAAGTTCGAGGAGTTGAACATGGACCTCTTCAGATCTACTCTTAAGCCTGTGCAGAAGGTATTGGAAGACGCCGACATGAACAAAAAGGATGTTGATGAGATCGTGCTTGTCGGTGGTTCTACCCGTATCCCCAAAGTACAGCAATTGGTCAAGGAATTCTTCAATGGAAAGGAGCCTTCCCGAGGTATCAACCCTGACGAGGCTGTCGCTTACGGTGCCGCCGTCCAGGCTGGAGTACTCAGCGGTGAACAAGACACAGATGCTATTGTGCTACTCGACGTCAATCCTCTTACCATGGGTATCGAGACTGTCGGAGGTGTCATGACCAAGCTTATCCCCCGTAACACCGTCATTCCTACCAAGAAGTCTCAGATCTTCTCCACAGCTAGTGACAACCAACACACCGTTACCATCCAGGTGTACGAAGGTGAACGTCCAATGACCAAGGACAACCACTTGCTCGGAAAGTTCGACTTAACTGGCATTCCTCCTGCACCTCGTGGTATCCCTCAGATCGAAGTTACCTTCGAAATCGACGCTAACGGTATCTTGCAAGTGTCTGCTGAGGACAAGGGTACTGGAAACCGAGAGAAGATTGTCATCACTAATGACCAAAACAGACTGACACCTGAAGATATCGAGAGGATGATCAAGGATGCCGAGAGGTTCGCCGATGAAGACAAGAGGCTCAAGGAGCGCGTTGAGGCCAGGAACGAACTGGAAAGCTATGCTTACTCCATCAAGAACCAGCTCCAGGACAAGGAGAAGCTTGGCTCTAAGGTTGGTTATACAAACTATTGCACTTTTATTAACTTTAAATAATCACATTTATCTTTATTAATTAACTTACCAGATACAGAATAAGCTAACAGTTCCGTTTTCTTTGTCTACAGTTGAGTGACGACGAGAAGTCAAAGATGGAGGAGGCTATCGATGCCGCGATCAAGTGGCTCGAAGACAACCAGGATGTCGACTCAGAAGAATACAAAAAACAGAAGAAGTCCCTGGAAGACGTTGTTCAGCCCATCATCGCCAAGTTGTACCAAGGACAAGGAGGCGTGCCCCCGCCTGGCGCGGGAGGTGAGGATGAAGATTTCAAGGACGAGTTGTAACCAAACAGACTTTAATACGTGTGATCATAGCCAAATGTGATCTCCGATCGTTGCGGGGTGTGCACCGTGAGCTGACGTCACGCGGCACAACCTGCAGCGAGACACGGATGCGGAGTGTTTTAACTCGTGTTGTGTATATTTATTGTATGTGTGTGTGTGAGGTTGGGGTGTGCGGCGGGCGCGCTGGCGTCACAGAGCCGAGATCTGATCGTGTTTCTGCCGCTGCGCACATGTCTGTATGGTGCGTGAAGTTAATTGTAAAAATTGATGCATTTTTATTTTTAGTGAAAGCAATAGTTTCGCGTATGAATAATTGCGAGAGGCCTGATTCCATGACTTTCTCAATGCCGATTTATTTATTAAACTATTATTGCATCAACTAATGAATCGGTGCGAGTCTCGTTACATCTAGGAGACCACCTCAGTGTTTTTGAACTGTATGTATGTAATTATTTTGAGACTGCAGAATTGTTAGTTTATAATTAGCAGAATAATTAAATAATTATGTAGTAATTAAATAATTTCAATTGAAGTACGGAGGAGTACATAAATAAACATTTTTCTAACGACAACATCTTTTATTTAATAGTTAATAACAAATAATAAGACATTATTCACCACAAACGTTACGCAGTTGAGAACAGCACTCGATGTCGAAGTGGGGCGCTGCGATCACGGCGGCCTGCACCTTTACTTGCACTTTATCTAAAAACAAAACAATGAACTTGAGACTGCTGCCATCAGACGCGCTGCATCATAGCAATCGCACGCTGTTTCCTTTTTATTGTTGCATGCAGATAAGAGATAAGTGGCCGCTCGGTATCCTTGATAAACCTTATTGAACCAGAGCAGGGATCAATTTTTTAATCTCAAGGTTTCCTACTATTACAATCTATGGATGGTCAGCTCTAGTTAGGGCTGAACATCACCCTAAAGTGCCGTCTCACACAGTATGATTCCCCGAATCCCCGAAAAGAAACACTAGTTTGTAGAGAGAGCACTGACCACGAAGCGTTGCGTTAAAATCTGCGAAGAAATTTTCCGCGCGTTTTCATAGCACTGTTGTTTAAAATAAATAGTGTAGATAGATATATAGGTTCTACCATACTCTACTCTCGTGAGCATATTAAATTGAAAAGTACAGTTCGCGAGCGCTGTTCTCGAATATGGGCCCCGGTGTGACTTGAAACTAAATAGATCTTTCCCCGATTTCACGTTAAGTAATAGATATAAATTAAGTACTTAATTAATTCTGATAAAAATGGGAATGATTGATAATTCTATCAGTACCTATCTATATTTATCACCATTATTCTGATATCAAATATATCTATATTTTGTGGGAATTTACTAGAATAAGACCCACGTTGTCCATGGTCAAATCATTTTACTATTAGTCTAAGATCCCGTTATAGAACGACCTTCACCGAGATGCTTATTTAATGAAACGTATTTTATATTTAATTTAATATGTCAATAAATATAATCCATATGGGTTGCCTAGCAAATTTCAGTCCAGAGTATGTTTAATTAATAATTAAAAAAAAATATTTTTTTAAACATTTCACCGGTATGATTATTAGATAAATTCTATACCAATCGAAAGTATGAAGCCCATAGAATACACAAACGTTAGGTTGCCTATTCTTTTCCGGTCACAACTATCGGGTTGCCAGGTATAAACAGGTAAATCTGTACTAGCATTTTGCAACGTTCTGTTTATTGGATGAAATTTAAATCAAATTAAAGATTATTTTATTCTGAACACGGTGGTATAGGGTTGCCAGCGAAAAATAAGTCCAGAATTGCGGTTGTCGAATTTTAAAAAGTTAAATATTGCTCCGAGTGAATGTGTGCGACTGAGAGGTCCCAACCAACCATCCCATGCGATAGAAGAGGACACAGCATAGCAGCTGTGTAAAGTCCGGCCATTTAAAGAAAGAGAGTGCGCATGCTCTTTGGGCTTGGAAAAGAAAAGGATAGCGATAGACTATGCATCATTTTGGAGTAGTTTATTATTAAAATAGAGAAAAAGTTATTTATTAATTTTTTTTATCAATTAATTATTTATGTGTATATTTTTTATGTGACACTGAAGTATATATACATCTTTAGTAAAAAAGAAGGTTATAGTGATACATATATAATACTACTCTAATAATTAAAAATATTGATTGAAAAATATAAGAAGAGACAATAAAAAAAAACAAAAATTAAAAAATTACTTCTATTTATTGTAAAAAATTAAAAATACATTTTTTTTTAAATTATTCGGAATCCGAGTCATTGGACTCCATCGGACTACGATCTTCAACTTCTGAATCTTCTTCGTCATTACTCTCTGTTTCACCTTTTTCGACAATGTCTTCTATTTTTAAAGGTGTATGATCCCCAATGAATCCTACTGGTTTTAAATATTCATCTAAGTACCATCCGCAGTTCTCAGGCTCAAGTTTCACGCATATTGGTTCCGTTGCATTAAGCCACATGGAATTTACGAAAATAGTTCGTAAAATTTTCTGAGTTAATGATATCCAGCATGGTGGTATGGAGTTGGAGTCGAAGCCTTTTATTTTTTTTAAAAAGTACTCGCTGTCTTCTTTTGCAGAATAATTTTTCATAAAAATACGATGTCTCGCATCATTCACACTGGTGCAGTTCCTGATACCGTACATAATAGCCGTAAATTCTTGAACGGTCTTCATTTTTTCAGTATTGAAAATATCAGCAGCATCCGTTAATGATGCAAAAACTGTTTGATATTTTTCATTTTTTGAAAATTGCTTAAAAGGTTTTACTTTCCCTTTGTTGTAAAAGGCTGCCGTATAATCGCAACCTGTAAATGCGTGGTAGGCGGGAAGACTTTGGCATAATTTAATTCCCAACTTCAACGCTAAATCCGTGCAATTAATGCAATCAACAGTTTGATTATTAGTCTTTCTAGTTGCTGAACAGGCAAGCCAAATTTCTGATTCGATAAGTTTGTGCATATTTCCTAACAAAATTATCAAAACGTCAGTATCAGAGGCTTTAATTAAAATCCTTGAGCCTGGTTCCGCTTTAGAAGCATGAAAAATAATCCTTGTATCTGCCTCTTCATGATGACATTCATAATTACTTTCTTAAAGTTTGAAATTGTTTGCCATTACAGAGACGTCCATGTCTGTTTTATAAACAATTTTTTTGTTACGTATTCCCATTGACGCTTCAATCGTAATACGATCCTGAAATTTCTTCATTAACTTTTTTTGCAAGGTTTCACATCGGTAATCTTGAATATCATCGAAATCAATTTCATGATTTCCAAACTCCAACAATAAAGCTTGGTATCTTAAAAATAATTGAGCCAAGTACATAACCTTGTTGTTTTCTATTATTTCTGTTTCAATGAAATTCGATATGGATTGAAAGGCAAACTGATGTAACTGTCTATATTTACTATAGTTGGAATGGGTAGATTCTTCCGTGGACCGCTTATTTTTCGATTGATACACTGCGTAACAAGGCAGATGGTACGCGATAGTTTGATGTTGAAGTTTGGAGAGAATCACCGAATCGCCAAAATTTTGCGCTATATTTTTTATCTGCAGTGGTACTTTGTCATCATTAGGTACAGTAAGATTGACCAGCTTCTTCCCGCATCTCTTTTGGCTGTGGTCACAAAAAAGACAAATAATTCTGCTTGATGTCGATGCTGTTGATGTTGACTGCTCCTAAAAGAATTAAATCATTCTTTGAGTAAAAATCATATTTACATATCATTTTTTTAAAGAAACTTAAAAAAAAACAAAAAATATTTTATTACCGTGTCAGAGTCCCCAGAAGTTTGGGCCAGGTCTTCAACATTACTCGTTTCATTTTCAGCAACTGTAGCACAGGAATCGACACTAGGGTTCAACTGTTTTGATTTTTCTTCAGTAGTAGATACATTGTTATGCTCCTAAAAAAAAAAAAAAAATTTTGCGATTAAATGAAAATGTTTGATATAATAAACTTCTTGATAAGAATAGTTGATTGAAAACATCCTCATTAATTGTTACAAAAAAAAAAAAGAAATCAGATCTTTTTCTTGTTTAATTTATAAACTAGTGCCCAGGAGTATGGACTACATTCGTGCCAAGTTTGGTCGAAATCTATTCAGTACTTTTTGACTTATGCGTGCACATACAGACAGACAGACAGACAGACAGACAAAAAAAATACTTATTGCATTTTTTGGCATCAGTATCGACCACCAATCATACTCCAATATTAATTTTAAAAATATGTTCAATGTACAAAATTGACTTCTCTACAGTTTTATTATGGTTATAGATTGCCATTTTTAAGTAAATTACAAAAAAATTATGTATGTCGAAAATTAACAAAACCATAGGCGAATTTTACTAACAATTATTTAAACATGAAAAAAATATAGAAGATGTATTAGCTAAGATAATTTTAAAGATTCAATTATTATGTACTTACTGTATATTCAACACTAAAATTAAGAAATTCTTCGTTATATTTTTTATTCAAAACGGTCACTTTCTTGTAGCACGTGGTATGATAACCTACAAATTGAAGAGACGCACTGGGTAGCTCAACAAAATTGTATTTAAAGTGTTTTTTTTTACGAAAAGCTAACTTTAATACACAGTTTTTGAAAGTTTCATCATTAAAGTCAATTATTTCACCATCCGATCCACACAAAAAACACTTTTTTGCCATTTTTTCCAACAATAAATAGTAGCACGTTTTTTCAATTGTATTTATAGCGACACTCTACTCCAAAATGATGCATAGTCTATCGCTATCCTTTTCTTTTCCAAGCCCAAAGAGCATGCGCACTCTCTTTCTTTAAATGGCCGGACTTTACACAGCTGCTATGCTGTGTCCTCTTCTATCGCATGGGATGGTTGGTTGGGACCTCTCAGTCGCACACATTCACTCGGAGCAATATTTAACTTTTTAAAATTCGACAACCGCAATTCTGGACTTATTTTTCGCTGGCAACCCTATACCACCGTGTTCAGAATAAAATAATCTTTAATTTGATTTAAATTTCATCCAATAAACAGAACGTTGCAAAATGCTAGTACAGATTTACCTGTTTATACCTGGCAACCCGATAGTTGTGACCGGAAAAGAATAGGCAACCTAACGTTTGTGTATTCTATGGGCTTCATACTTTCGATTGGTATAGAATTTATCTAATAATCATACCGGTGAAATGTTTAAAAAAATATTTTTTTTTAATTATTAATTAAACATACTCTGGACTGAAATTTGCTAGGCAACCCATATGGATTATATTTATTGACATATTAAATTAAATATAAAATACGTTTCATTAAATAAGCATCTCGGTGAAGGTCGTTCTATAACGGGATCTTATACTATATCGTATAAAAATGTAGTCGTGTACACATTCGCTAATGATTACGTGGTGTTAACTGATAGACTGAGTATGTTGCTAGCAACAAGATCAATTGAAAAGTTGCTCATGAAAATTGTACCTATGTATGTGCGTGTGTGTAATATAATATAATACGAAATTATCGTAATATA